TCGTCCAGCCAGCTGTAATAGAGAAGAGCATCCTGTGCTTGCAAAAGAGAATCCTGTGAGATGGAGTTCTGGGCATGGTGCATTTTGCATGAGTGACACAGATTTATTTGGAAGCATCTGTTTTTCCCTTCCACCTCCTTGTCTGTTTGTTTACTTTGGCATCCTGTGGGCCACGAGTCCTCTCTAACCCCTGGGCCCAAAGGCGCAACCTGTAATTAGTGTCGCATACATCTTCTTCTTCTTCTTCTCTTTTAATATCTTTGGTTTTTATTAAAATGCTTTCAAAAATCTACAGTCAGATTTATTTTAGGTATTTGTCTCTGGGAACATCTTCTTATAGAGTTATCATTACAGACAATTACAAAGGCATCATGTCCCGTGGTGCAGTGGAATTCCTGCCTCTGAATAGTGTCATTATTAGTAAAATGCAGAAGCCCCTAACAAGAACCCCAAATACCTGATCAATCCTGCTTTCTCCTAGAACCATGGGCGGAAGGTGGGATTAACTCTTGTTCTATTTCTTTCCATCCCATTCACCAAACATTTACATGCACATAAGTTAGCTTGAGTTAGGAAGGGGCTCCGGCAGCTCTTCTGACTCGTTGCCCTTAGCATTACACTATTGTTGTAAAAAAGACTTGGAAAGCCCTTCTGATGTATCAGGCACGTTTCTTAGCACATTAGAAAGGTTAACTCTTTCAGAGCACCGTGGGAGGAAGATGTTACCTAGGGTCACACAGATAGTGTTGATAGAGCCAGAAGATAAAACCTCCCTTCAGATTCCAGACTCTGTGTTCTCCGCCAGCACGACAGTGCTTTCGCTGTTAAGAATCAGATGGCACCCATCTGTATACAACAGAAACCAAGATAGGGATCTTGCCTTCATGGGGCTTGAGATCTACATATGTTGTTTTTCTTCACCATCTGTATCTGGCACCCATTTTGACAGAACACCACAATTCATTAATTTACTCAGTCCCTCCATGTTTAGTATCGACTATGTGTTACATACTGTGACCGACACAGGGCCCACAAACAATACAGGTTGTCCCCATTCGATGTTGAGAGTCCGTTCCAAGGACTTCCGTGTAAGACAGTTCTGATGTAAGTTGAAGACTTCTGTTCTTCTTCTCGACGTCATCGGGTCAATGCCGACCCACAGAGATGCTACAGAACAGCATGGCACCGCCCAGTGACTTTCCAAGACTGTCTTTCTCCTGAGGAGCGGCTGTTGGTTTGAACTGCTGACCTTTCTGATTGAAGCCCATCTCATAACCACTATGCCACCAGGGCTCTTCTGCTTTTTGGTTTCCATTACTGTTGTGCTTTATTATCACTCTCTTTATAAACACAATTGTTGAACATCTGCA